CTTTAATGGAATAAGTCGTGACAAATTCTGGTCTCAATGCAAATGTATGTTAATCATAAATAATAAAACTATTGCAAAGACTTTTTTTTTTTTGAGAAAAATGTTAATGAATCAAGTGTTTGGAAACTTATACTCAGAAATTGAACATTTATTTTTATTTTCTCTGATTATAAACCAAATATCAGTGACTGATATGTGGAATAATGTCCTAGAAAAATTTCACTTACTACAATTTTGAGTATAATAAATTTAATTTTCAAGCATGATTGGTTGGAAATTTGATTTAGTTTTTGTTTTAAAAGGTGCAGAAGATGAAACAAACTCAGTAATGCAATATTCTGCACAGTATATTAATCAAGATCCTTACTTGCATCAAGATGATGACCAGCAACAAGGATGGGTTTCTTGGGCTTGGTCTTTTGTTCCTGCTATTGTGAGTTATGATGATGAAGAGAATGATTCTGGTGGAATTGATGATGGAACAATGCTACATCGGCAGAAATCTCAGTCCCTCAAGGATCCTATTGTTTCGGTTGGGTTTTATTGTACAAAGGCAACAGTAACTTTTAAGGTAAGTGTTTCTCTATGTTGTCTAGGATTTATTTGGCTTGTTGAGAAAGTGCATAAAGATTAGCTGAGTGCTTGTGTCCTGTTTGACTTGAGACAGGGAATACTGCATTAATGAATAGCAAAAAATGAGAATGTTGAAAGTATTGTGTTCTTAACTGTAGTGTAAGGTGTTTATGCCAGTTGAGCTAGAATTTGAGTGCAAGCATTTTCATCTTAAAGGGAAACTGCTTAATTTACTGAGATAATTTTTTTTTGTGGGAGAAAAAGCATAAAAGGCTTTTAAGAATATTTATTGCAGTATTCTATCCATGTTTGTATATTTCTTTATAAAAAAGCTTTAGCATTATACAGTTTGTAAATTAGAGGAATGCTTTCTTCTTTTTTAGGCTGTAACATGTGCAAGTATGAAATTACATTGATAATGTTGAAATTATTTTCCATGCATTGGAATTGAAATAAGGAAATGAAGGCTAAATGACACACATACTCTGAGCTATAAACTGTGTATGCAGAGAAAGATTTGAGTATTTTTTGTAAACAAATCTCAAAACGGTTGCTGGGCTTCTCTCTAGTCTTTTTGTAAGCTTGCAGAAGGGGGAATATGGGGAGTCATAGTAAGACACTGACATGTACTGACAGAAATGAAAAATTAGGTTTCTGAATTAGCAAAATACTTTTGACACATGCCAAACTGTATGCAAGCAATTCTATATGCATAACTATAATAGAAACTGGCTCTTGGTTGTACAATTAAACATATGTTAAATCAAGGCCAGAACTCTTCAGAACAGGAAATATTACCATTTCTATGAGAAGCAGAATAACAAAGGTTGATTTTTGTGACTTTGATCCTTTCAGATGAACAGCAATACTTTTAATAATCCTCATATAATGTTTATGTGCATGATTATACCCTCAATACCATCAGCAGCTCCTTTGTTGCCTGTTTGGCTTGTCATTTGTGCACAAGAGTGTGTTTTGAGGGGCTTCAAGGCTACTTTCTCTTAGCTATTTTTGTTTGGCAGACCATTTAGCTGCCCAGCAACTGTTGGAAAGGATGAGACAAGTGACTTTGGGAGTTGCAAACATTCTGTGGGGGAGGCTAATGATTTAAGCCTTCACACTTCTGGCAAATTTAGTTGCAAAATATAACTTCAGCAAACATTCAGTTATGTTCTTTTGTGTTAGTCTGCTTCAGCCTTAGTTTAAAACAAAGCAAAAAACCAAAACAACAAAAAACCCCAGGCTAAAAATAAATAATGCAAAATAATTTCTTCTTCCTTTAGTTATAAAAAAAATACTTAAACCTGAACAACCAACCAAATGTCAAATTTCTCATTTTTCATGGCTTAGCATCTTCCTTCTTTTGTGCTTTGTCATACAGTAGTAATTTTGTGTGCTCTTTCCCCACATGAGAAAACTCATTAAAAATAATATGAACTTCTCTTTAGAACATGATTCGCTGCATTGGGCTTTTCTAATGTTTCATTGGCAAGTTTACACATTTTATATAAAGAAGTGATAAAAAGTACTTAAAATGTAACATCTTGCATTCTATAAATTTGAAATGTGAAGTGATGTATGATACTAATATGGTGACAGTTGGGAGGAAAACAGAATTCATTGTTCTGCTTGCATGCAAAGAATGTATGGAATTAATTTGTGGTTCATATTTTGGTTAAAAAATGAGGTCAAGTTTCTGCATTAGCATTCTGAACAGTTGATATCATTCCAGCTAAAAATCATGCCAAATTAAATGTAGCGTTTTTAATAATGGTGAAAATTATTCTTGTAATGTCTGAGTTCTTTTAATCAATTAATTGCTTTTCCTCTACAATAATTGCACACAGCTGAAGGGTGATCAGTGATACTTTTTTTTTCTTCATACAATTTTCTTGGATATTTGGATTACAAAATTTTAGTTTGAAACAACATCCATGAGTATCCACTCTAGAAAATAATGAGAGCTTGTGGATATTGTGGATATTTTTATATAAAAATGAGAATTTGAACTGTTTAGGCTGTTCAACACAAGCAAACTTAAGTATTTTTTAATGCAAAACATGACACCTTCATTATTTTTTGCCTCTTTTATTTTTCTTCTTAGCTGCAGGTTATGTGCTATTTAGCCTGAGTGTGGGTTTTTACCACTTGAAATTTTTATATTGAAATCATGCAAGAAAAATAAATACATGCTTTTCTTGATTCCCCTGATGAGAAACAAAAATGAGTATGGTTGTAATCAAAATGCTTCCTTAATATTATCATGCTGTTTAATTATTTGCTGGGAAGAATAAATAATATATTTATGGACTTTTACAGCATTTTATAAGCTAATTTGATACTATGTTAATAATGCAGCTGTGTATCCGTTCCATCATTTCTTATAGTTTCTTTATAGATAAGCAAACTAAAAATACTGTAGTGGATTTAAAACTTTCAGTTATGGCATACTTCAACCAGAAGTTGAATATGAGAAGTTCTAATACGGATAATGTGTTACAGCTGTTTAACTGCACCTGTTTCCTGCTTGTTAATAAATTTTGGCTCATAGTTTAATTTGTCTTCATCAGTTCTGTGTATGAATGACATTACTGCTGTTTAATACTAATATTGACTTATATAAGGTGTTTATCCTGTTGTTTCATAGCTCACTGAAATGCAAGCTGAAAGTAGTTATTACAGCCCTCAGAAAGTTAAATCCAAAGAAGTTTTATGCTGGGAACAAGAAGGAACCACAGTTGAGGTAATTTTCCATTGACAGGGATTTTTGATTCATTGTAAATAATGTAGTAAGTAGTTTTCAATAAAATATTTTGAAATTACTTCATTACTGATTTTTCATATTCTGCTGTGTTGGATGTGTTTGTAGGTAGAAATTCTAATTCTATAGTGATCAGTCACCAAAGTAATACCTTCCTTCTGAGTACCCTGTTTGATGAACTTGCTGTTTATTAAAGCTTTAAATGTATAAACCTAAACATATTTTAGTTCACTTTTGTCCGTCTTTTCCTATGGAGCAGAATTCTTCAAGATATCACTTTTTTTCTCCCTCACTAGGTCCTTATGAAAGGTGAACTTTTCTTTGATTGCCAAATAGGTTTTGTTGGTTGCCAAGCTATGTGCCTTAAAGGAATTATGGGAATTAAAGATTTTGAGGAGAACATGAATAGGAGTGATGAAGTGAGTATATTGAAATATCAGTTGACTTGCTGAATAGGTAATTCTGGTATGCTTCATTAAAATATTTGATTACAAGAATTGGGAAGGCTGCTGTTACCAATTGTGGTTTAAGTTTTTTGAATGTGTCACTTGAATATAGAACTCGATGTCTATTCCTTACAGTTGGATAGATGAATATCTGGGAGTGAGAAGCTGCAAAACATGAGACCTTTTTCTTCTTTGACAGCCTCACTGCCCCCTATTGTTATGTATGTCTGCATACTTTGATTTTTTAATTAACAAATTAAAATGCAGTTGAAAACCTTTGAAAGTATTTAAATCAACGGAAGATTGGAAGGGAAGACATTTAATGAAGCAGTGCATGAAATTCTAAATTCTGTAATGAGAATTTTTGGTTGAACTACAGGTAGAATGGGGCCCTTAAGTTCTGGAGAGCAGCAACTGATATCCGTGTTTAAATGAAAACTAATAATACAAACAGCAACAGACCTGTTAACTTGATGTTAATTCTCTGTGAAGTCTTATGAAGTATTTGAAGGAGAAAAAATAATAATATGAAAGAAAATACAAAGTGACTGTATACTAATGTCAAGTATCTCCTTTTTTGTAAAGTGATCATATATTTATATATACTGTGATAGGTATGATTAAACAGGTTCTTATACTTCCCCTGTGAAAACAGCATGGCTTGGTGTCCATCTCAAGCATTTGTATGCAAATGTATGCAGAAAACAAACAAGAAGAATTAGATATCCTTACATAGCTGTGAAGTGGTTATAGAGCTGTGATGGACACACTACATGACTGGTGTGCTTCAATGGATAGACATAGGCTTTTCCAGAAAGACAAGCTGAGGAGGCAAGGTTGAGCTAACTGTAAAAGATGCTCTGCTGACCTTGTGGGATATAAGGGAGACATAGCTGGGGACGTGAGGCTGGATGGCAGCCTTGTCTGCAGTCTGTGGTGCAAAATCATGAGAAGTGATTTTTGGATTGGGGTGGGTGAATGAGTGAATGAGTTTTCTGTAGTTTAGTTGATAAGGGACACTTTATTTTGTTTGTTTGTTTGTTTTTCTCCATTTTACTGCCACCCTGTAGGATGTGAATTTAAGAAAATCTCTGCTTTCGTGAGAATGATGATGTTCATACTGCCTTGCCTTTTCTCTTTCTATACTGCTGTAATTGGGACTGTGCCTTTCATAAAGGTTCCAGCTCTTGTTGTATGTGATTGATTTTTTTTCCCAACCATCTATTCTCAATCTCATGTAAATAACTTTTTGGAAGAATAACTCGTGGTGGAATAGTTGTGTTGATTTAAGAAGCATAGAGGTTTTGGGATATGGAGAAGGCATGTGAAAATGTAGATGAATAAAGAAGAATGATAAGGTAGTAAGCAGGTCATACATTGAAATAACTGCTTATGAAGAGGAGAGAAAATTCTGAAAGCTGTTGGTCAGCCAGCGAAATGGAGTATGTAGTGATAAGATTGTGTATGGTTCAGAGGATGAGGCAGAATTTGGAGTAACGATGATCTGAGGATTTTTTCTGTTAAAATGAATCTAGCATGTTCTGTATTATAGTCACTAGCTCAGGCCATTTTTAATAATTTGAAAATAGGGAGGGGGTGGCCAGGAACTTAAGTGTTATTTGAATGACATTAATTATCTTCATTCATAAAGAAATATGCTCTTGAGAGATCCTACCATGTCAGTAGCGTGTTATGACAGAATTGAAGTGCTGTGTTAACTTGACTGTATTTTTTTCTCTCCCTTGCCTTACTAATTTCTACTACCTCATAAAGGAGGCCTACTTCTTTAATTGTGGAGAAAACTTGAGTGCAAAAGGGATGACGTACCTTACCAACTCACTATTTGATTACAGAAGTCCAGAAAATAATAGTATTCGTGCAGAATTTATATTGGATGCTGCTCATCATAAGGTCAGATAATTACATATTTCTTAGAAAAAAATTTCTAATGCTAATGGATTTCTAATGATTATTTTGATCTGTGTTCTATTAGAAGACTGATTTTCCTTACTTTGTCCTGTTTAACTGAATCTTACTTTGCAGCTTGCCAAAAAAAAAAAAAAAAGTACAAAGACATGTCCAAAAGAAACCTCAAACTTCCCTCCTGCCCCAAAAGCTGCATTAATGCCATAGTTTCCAAAATCACTAGCTACGGAACACCTGCAGAGAAAGCAGAGTTATGAGAGAATGCTAGCAAAAGGTCCAGCTTTAGCAGCGCATACTGCTATAACCCAAACAGGAAGTAGTTCTTAGTCTTCAAATTAAGAAGTGCTCTCTTGGAAATCACATCTTGGGCAATGTTAATTTTATTGTCTGTGTGGTACAGTTGTCTACTTAGAGGAAGTCTTGCTAATTCTGTGCTTTTAGAGACAAATTTTGAGTAACTGTTAGTCTCTGTTGTAAATTGTGCAGTAAACCTTTATTCCCTGATTGTCTGCAATTATTAAAGACTGGATGTGATGACCCATGTGGTCCCTTCCAGGTGGGTTCATAGGTGGAGTTCTGTGCTCTGTGTTACTGTACAGGTAAGCCACTTATGATTTTGAATATATCTAATTTCTTCTGAATTTAAATTTTACTCTTTTCACCTTTTTAGTCCTAGTGATGAAGTGCAACCCTAAAGAATCCCGTTAAAATGAAATTAATTAGTGAAATCACAACTACTTATACATATTCAAACATTTGCCATAGTGTGTTTGAGTTTTAAATTTTACTTTTTCCTTGGCCTGTCTTCAGTGCTTCTGTGATTTGCCTATTTATTTATTTATTTATTTTAATAAGAGGGGAAGCAACTTTGCTGTGTAGGTATGGATTGTATTATATGCACATCCCAATAATAACGTAAATTCTTAATAAGTTTCCTACTGTTCAAAGATAAAGCCACAGTATTCCTTAAAAAAGCCAGAATGAATGAGCGAGCTTCAGTTTTCAGTGTATTTAATTAGACAGACCTGTTCGATGCAAGAGGTCAAGTGAAGAATATTTACTCCATTAAAGCTACTAATTAACTAGTTGTTATCGATGAATTGGTTGGCATGTCCACTGGAATTATGGATGTGCCTTTGTGTGGCCTCAAATAGAAGCTATGTTACCTATTGGAAGGTGAATTCTTCGGGGGATAATCTCTGTCCTTTGTTTTGATAAGGCTTTCTGCGTGTTGATGCACAAATCCAAACATGAATATATCTTGCTCATACCAACCTATCAGTTGGTGATCTCAAGATTCTTTCCTTATACAACATTTTCTCTGTTTGCTTTGCTTTGTTGGTAGGAGACGTACACAGAGATAGCTGGAATGCAGAGGTTTGGGGCTTTCTACATGGATTACTTGTACACAATGGAAAGCACCAGTTGCAAAGGTACCTTTTTGTCTTTGTTTACCATGTTAAATAATAGAAACAAAGACTTTTCTTGCCCAACGGTCCTTGACCAGCTGTCCTCTAACTTACCTTACATTTACCATCAGGTTCTTCATTAAAATGGTTTCATCTTCATTGATGTGTTTGTGATTACCAGTTTTGGTTAGCTGTTGATTGTGGAGATTTTTCCCTGCCTGAGTAATTACTTATATAAGTAATTATATAAGTAATCACAATGATATCTTTTATAGTCAGTTGCTAAACTGAAAATAATTCTCTCATAGTGGTGAATTCACAAAGTATGACTTTTATTTTTATTTTTTGCTTTTTTAAAATTGTTTTCATTATTGACTTTGGGGGGTGGGTGGGAAAAGCTCTTCTAGGAGACCCTGGTTAAAGAATGAAGTTGATCATCTACTTGGAGTAGAAGGTGAAAAAGGACTGTCATTATCTTCTATGAAATAAAATGCAAGGATGAGAAAATTAATCTTTAAATATTCATATCTGAACAATGTTGTGAGCCAATATTAGCCTAAAATGTGCACATGTAGGTATTGGCTAACTCTAAGTGATTTTTGACATTCAAACTCCTAATTGTTTTTGTTTTCTGGGCTTGTTGGATATTATGTATAAAAGGAGTAAGGAAGAAAAACTTCTGGTTTAGTTAGAGGATGGATCATGTAAAGCTTAGAAAAAGAGATAGGTGATGCTATTGCCTTTGATAGTAGAGGGATATACTAGGTAAATTAACAGTACTTTCCTGGCCCTGAGGCTTTCCTCTGTTTACTGTAAGTGTGATGTGAAGCTGAGAAAATGTACACAAAGTCAAACTTCTACTGCAGTCTACTTCTGGTTTTAATAAAGAAATAACTGTTTAATTGCACACAGAACTTTTATGTAGAAGAGTTGAAGATGTAGGGTAAGCTTTATCCCCTTTTTGAATTTTGTCATAGAAATTTTAATACGCACAGACTAATTGATTATGGGAAAAAATTGATTTTGTGCAGTATTTTGTCTTTTTTTTTTGAATGCACAAGGAATGTAATGACCTATCTTTTCCTGGCTGTAACTAACACATTTCAGAAATTGCTGAACTCAGGAATACTTTTTACATTTTTTTTTTTTAACCTTTCCTCCAGGCCAGGCTACTGGTATTTTCCGACTACCTTTTCCCCTCCCCAGCTTCTCTTCTCTTTCTTTCAGTTTATTTTCTCAGGGCCTTTGCTTTTATTTTCTCCATCACTCACCAGAAGACATCTCACAAAATGTAGCTTGGCTTACTGTGTGCTTTTATTTCACTATAACTCCTCTAATTTCAACTACTTGACTACATAAAAGAATGGAATAATAATTTTTAAATTAATGGTTTAAATGGGTCTAGAATTAAGAACTTAAAACTTTAAATTTTCAAATAGTTTTGTTCTTCAGAAAAGCAAATGTGTCATTTTCTGCTAGTTTTCTATATAATTTTTCCTTACTGTGAGTCAAATATGTTATTATTGAATAGAGCAAGAACAGGTGTAAATTATTTCTTTATAATGATGGTATAAATACCTCAAGATTTTGAAAATAGTATAAATCTTGCTACATTTTTAGTATGTGGTGTCTATATTAAAGTATTTCTGTAAAAGTTTACATTTGACTGTTTCTTGTTTTGACATTAACTATGTTTAAGTTACAATCAGCGCACACCACCTTCCCCTAAAAAAACTGACCCAACTGAAGTTATAGGAGGCACTTACTGTGATTGTAAGATTTTTATCTGTCAAGGCAATTTTGGTTTGACACATTCTTTGCACCTTTAACCTTTCCTGGAGCATAGGATTACTGATTAAACCACAAGTGCCTCCTGGATAACATTAACTTCAGGAGTTTCATCTGTCACTTATAGAAATGCATTAATCACTTTTAGTATTTTGAATGAAAACAAGACAGGTAGTCGTGCACAGTTTTCTGAGTTTGAAATTCTGCCTGTCCTTTCCTTCCTATTTTATTTTTCTATTTTTTTGCTTTGTATTTCAGCAGAAAACAGTAATTTCCCTGAAACTTTGTGTAGCTTATCTGTTCCCTAATCACTGATTTACATGACCTATACACCTAACGGGGTGTACTTTTTAAGTTAAATTTTCTTCATAATGTGAAGTTAAATTTTCTTCATAATCTGTCTTATTTTGGTGGCAAGTTTATTATGCAGCACTCTCATTTTAAGGTTTTAATTTTTTTCAGTTAGACATATGCGTTATGGAGAAATGAATGCTCAGTGATTAGAAATTATTTTCCTTCCTGCATCTGCGAAGTTTCAGAAGTAACCTGTACTCATCTACATCTGTAGAACCAGTAGTTTTTCTACCATGTTCTCTTTGCACTTAGAATTAAATGAAACTATTCAAGAAAGTGATTTGTATAAATTCTGTCATTTCAGTATAATATTCATACACATACAGTGTATATAAGTGAATCTTTTGAAAAGGTAGGCTGTTATTCTAAAAGCTTTTGACCTTAATATTTTTAATGTAATGTAATGTTCTTTAGACTTCTTGGTAATGTTCATCTGAAGTAGATACTGTGTAGAATTGAAAGCACCAAATTGCATGTTAACTAGACATTAAATAAAGCATACCCTGGCAGCCTGCTGGATGCTGGCTTTTAAAAAAAACAATCTTTTTCAGGATTTATTAAAAAAGTTGTAAGTTCAGCTCCACCTGAAGATTTGAATAGGTTTTATAAGGTAGTATCTTTCTGTCCTTTTTTCTTTCTTTTAGTTTTTTTTTTCTTTCTTCTTAGAAATGGTAAACAAGTCATTAAGGGAAGCAGAGGCTATAAATGCTGTCACCATCAACTTCCATTGGGCTTTTATGGACCAAGTTAATTCTTCTGTTGATTCTGCAGAACGTTAGGGCAGCTCTGCTTCAAATTCAGCATAGTCTTGGTTTATTCAAAAGCTTTCTCCTCACCAGTCCTTAGAAGCAAGAACATTTTATAGAGTATGATTCAAACGTAAGGGAAGAAAACTCAATCCTATCCTTTCTTTCTTTTCCCCCAAACTCACTTCTGCTATTAAAGACTGGTTTGAGTTAGTACAGTAAAGGAGGGTGGGAAAAGGGAGTGTTCCCCTGAAGGGTAGAAGACAGGTTCCTCACAGGCAATCAGAAATAAAACGTTTTCTTCCACTTGATTTAAAAGTAAGATTTACCTTGAAGTTGTGAAGCACACCACGCCAGGCTGCTTAACCACAAAGCCTCAGCTACTCAGAAGTTGACAGATCCTACATCTCTTTGGCAAAATGGGTAGGTCAGCTGTTTGCAGCTGCCCAGTCTGATGACCTGAGCTTGGTTTGCTGTTTATGTTAGTACAGGCAGATTGTGTCAGTGAGGAAGACGGTATAATGGGAATTTGGAAATGACAGATTTTTCCGATGGTTTTGGGTTGTATTTCTTTACAGGTGTATTTAGTTTGTTACTGTAACAGAAAGGCAGGAGGATTTATCCAAGAACATAGGTTGATTTGTACACAGGCATATGGGTGAAAAGAGAAAGGGAGGGAATCTATCTTCCACTGAGTAGGCATACAAGATCCGCACTGGATAAAAGCTTGGAAATTACTTAAAAATACTGCTGTTGAGAAGGATCATCATGGAACAAGTCAGTCCACTGCTTACACAGTCTTTGGTTGTTGTGACATGACATGATCATGAGTACAAGGAGGGCATATCAAAGGGACAGCTCTGCAATTACAGATGAATTGCATTGTGGAAACCAGGGTGAATTTAATGGCAATGGCTGTGCCTTTCCTGCCTTTCCTATTTGTCACAGCTTTGAGCAGGTGGATTATGGAGTACTGTGCTGTCTTAAGGAGTGTGTGCTATCCAGGTTCTCTGTGGCAGTCCTAAAAATGCGCTGAGACATAATGATTAAAGAAGTTTTCATTCTCACTGACCCCGCTTTACTTCATCAGTGAATGGAAGGAAGGGTTTATCTTTGTTTGTCAGTCTGGTTTATGACAATGCAGTTGCGTGTGATCTATTCTAGCCCAGGTACCATAATTTCAAACATTTGAAGGGCTCATATCTGTAGTTTCTTTGCAACACACCTTTTCCTTGATTGTTTGGGGTTGATATCTTTGTGATAAACTCTAGAAGGTTTTGAACAGCATAGCTGTCATCAGAACTTGTAGGTTGCCACAGAAGTTTGGACACCTTCAGAGAAGCACAAGCTTAGAGATACAAAGTTAATGGAAAGGTTCCCAAGTTGTGCTGTGCTTGGAGGCAAGCCAGAATCTTACGCTGTTTGCTCTGCATTAAACAAGAATAATGTTTGTTTAAACATGTTAAACCAGTCACGATATATTTATGTGTTCAATTTGCATTGTTGTATTTTCTGTGTATTTATAAGTCTGTGATCACAGGATTTGAAACAAAAGTAGCTGATAACTTTTATTATGTCCAGTTGTTTGATATAATTTGTTGTTATTTATAAAACTTCTTGTAGTTCCTGGGAATCAGCAAGACCTTTCTTCAGTAAAGAGTGAAGATTTTGGAAATATTCAGGAGATGTCTACAAAAAGCCTCATTGTGGGCCCACTCAGTCTTCGACTTGATAGCAGTGCAGTACACCGGATAATGAAAATGATAGTTTGTGCTCTGGAACATGAATATGAGCCATACAGCAGAACTAAGCCAGGTTTGTTCCTATGGCATATATGCAAACATACAGAATTAAACCAGGATAAATTCAGTGTTCTTGAAGGTGTGGCTTCCAAATAGTTGAACTTCAAATCTGTCAGGGAATTTTGTGAGTCCAAAGAGCAAAATCAAAAGTAAAGATAAAATTAATTGTAATATCCCCAACAATGTTGGAAATATCTCTGAGATAATTTCAGACATTTTGGAGGTCATTTGTTTCAATCACAAGCCTCCTGTTGCTTAAGGAGGGCTTATTACATTGACAACTCTAGCTTAAATTCGGAGTCTTAGAGAAGAAAGTATCCCTGTTGGTATGTATATATTAGTTTGAAATACTAGTTATACACGGTAAAAATGCATGGAAACAAGTAATGATAAACTGTTAAGATGAGTTTCTAAGAACTACTCAGATTTCAAAGTAAGGAAAATCCAGTTATGGTTGCGTTAGCCTTAGGTAGAACCAGTGTGGAATAAAATTATTAATTATATAAGGGGAAGCTTTCAATTTTTTGCTAGACCCTAACCATTTCTGAAACAGCAGCTATAGGAGATACTTTCTATATTTTAGTCAAACATACGTAATCTTGATTTATTGTAGATATTGTGGATGGAAATAGAACTATGCCAAGTTCAGAAGAAGTAGCATCATTGGAGGAATACATTCCCACTCGACTTACAACATTCACTATTCTTAAGTGTACAATTATAATCCCTGTGGCAGAATTCAATTTACTGGACCACTTGATGCCAATAATCATGGGTGAGAAGGTATGTATGCACAGATATTTATTCTGGTCTTTATACCAGTCTGTGCTATTTCATTTAAATTTTCCCACTGCACTGTTATTCCATGTGCCAGATGTATTGCTTATCAGTTTGGTGTCCATGAGCCTTAACTTCAAATGCCTAAGACAAGTGGTGTGTGTGGTGGCTAGCTAGACTTGTAGAATCGTGTATAAATTGAAGGTGTTGTGAAAATAACTATATTAGTATTTGTGAAGCATTTATATGTAAGAGAGATGAAAACCGTTTGAAAAAATTGTGGGTTTTTTGTTAGTTTTTTAGAGGTAGATTTGTGTAGTATTAGATGATGGAAGCGATGATGACATTCTTGATAACGTAATAGATACATGGTGACTAGGCGAGCTGTATTTTCTTATTGAATGTGCTTATTTACAGCATGTTTATGTGATTTAAGATTGTATGTGTATGCACAAGAGGACAGAGGACAAAACTCTTGGCACTCCTTATAGCATGCTTGTATAGCCATTTTCATTGGTGAATCGAAATCCACACAATATACACCCTAATACTTCACTTGATTCACTAGTCTCTAAGCTGCAGCATATAGAAAATTTTAAGTATGTGTCTTTTATTAAGTAAATATGCATACTCTTTAAAATTTAGGCTGCTTAACTTGCCAGTTAAGCTGTCTGGAGTGAGCAAACTGGTGGCAAATCTCTTTACCTCTTAATGTATTAGGATATAGGCTTGTGGATGTTAGAAGATGGGACAATGCTGGGTGCCTAGTGGAAGTATTATTTCCTTTCAGCCTGGAGTAGCCCATTGGATTGTGGTGCTTTTCACCTTATGGGCATGGACAGATAGTATTTTTATAATGAGTAAACCCAGGCGTATTTAAAATAGTAATTTTGAATTTTAGATTGGAAGTCATACATACATGAATTTATTGTCCTATTTTGATACAAGTTTAATAAAATTTTAGACTCATAAAGTAATTTGGATTGGAAGAGATCTCTGGAGATGGTCTCCAGGAGTCCAAAATCCTGTTCAAAGCAAGCCTGAGTGGAGCAGGTTGCCCCAAGGTGTGTCTGGCATGACTGTGATATGACAGTGTAAAGGTTAGATCAGCATGTGTTTAGTGATAGTGCTTTGGAGTGATACAAATGTAAACAAATATTTTATAGAACAAAATATTTTGACTTTGCATATTTTTATAGTGGTTTGACCTTGGCCAGCCTGCCAGGTGCTCACCCAGCCACTGTCCTGCTCCCCCTCCTCAGCAAGACAGGAAGAGAATAGGGTAGGTTGAGATCATGAAGAGTTGGGGAGATACTTACCAGTTACCATTATATGCAAATCAGACTTGAGTTGGGGACAATTAATTTTATTTATTGCCAATTAAAATATATTTTGGGTAGTGGGAAACAAACACAAGGATCAAAATGAGATCTTTCCCTCATCCGCTTTTTTCCCCAGACTGAACGTCACTCCTTCATTCCCTGACTTTTCTGTCTCCAGGCCCACAGTGCAGGGGAATGGGGGGTTGTGATCAGTCCATAACAGTTGATCTCTGCCACTCCATCTTTCTCACACTTTTCCCCATCTCCAGTGTGAGTCCTTCCCACAGGGTGCAGTCCTTGAGGATCAATCTGCTGCAGTGTGGGCTCTGCACAAGGCTACATGGTCCTTCGGGGTATATCCAGCTGCTCCAGTGGGGGGTCCTCCACAGGCTGAGGTCTATTCCGCTGTGTGTGGTCTCTTCCATGGGCTGCAGGGGACTCTCTGCTCCTCTGCATGGCACACCACCTCCTCCCTCTCTTTCTCTGACCTTGCTGTTCATCTGCTGTTTCTCACTTGGGTTTTTATCCCTGATTCGTCTCAGCCTGTCTGCTGTTTTTACCTTTCTTAAATACATTTCCACAGAGGTGCTGATGGGCTCAGATGTGTCCTGCAATGGAACCGGCCATGTCCAGAACAGGGCAGCCTTTGGTCTTCCCTCACAGAGGCTTGCCCCTGCAGCTCCCTCACTGCCAGCACATGGACACCTATGCCCAAGACAATTCTGGATAAAAGTTTATACATACGTTTTAAACTTTGAAGAGATTATTTTGAAAAGATTCATATTATAAAGACTGTAAGACCATGGTATCTATAAACAGTTTATTACATGTAGATTTACTTGTGTGTGTGTGGAGGTAATATGTAAATATGATAGTACATCTGTAGCATAATAACTGCATGTTTTTTTCTCTTCTCCCTTAGTGTGTAAGTGGCCAGTTAAATGCTGCAAGCTTCCAGCCCCTGCGGCCTTTACCTTCCATCCGAATTTTGGTGGATAAGGTTAACCTGGAGCACTCGGTGCCGATGTATGCTGAGCAATTGGTGCACAAAGTCAGCAGCCTCGGCCAGCCGTCTGACAACCTGCTTCATTATTGTTACTCACACTGCTATCTGAAGGTAAAAGAAGGCTTGCGATCTGTTTCTTACTGCAGTGTGCTGAGAAAAAGTTAATACAAGTATAGATAATCCTAAGTGTTAGCAGGGTTCCTGGGAGAAGGTTTTCAGCTTATCTAAAAGGACGTAGAATAAACACATTTTGCAGGATGTCATTGTTTGGGATTGCTGCTTCTGACTTGAGCCAAATGTTTTGTAACATGAACAGAGAACTTCAACAAAGAAACTGTGCACACTGAAGCCCCAAGGTCTTTGTGGCAAGGCTGGATTAAAATAATTTGGGAAGAAGCCTTTCCCCTCATCTGGGATAGTGCTGATAGAATGTGTAGATGGCAGTGAATTACACTTAGAAAATCTATGAGGTGTTATGAGTTAAAAACAACTTCTGGCAGTATTGATAGAGCAAAACCATGATAGTGAAGGTGTGCAACCAAAACCTGTTACCAAACCATTTCATTTTTTTTCATTATAAGAGAATAGCCTCTGAATGTTCTCAGTTAAAGATCCATTATGTCAGAGGAGTTTTTATTGTGAGGTTGGAGATAGTTTAGGAAGCTACTGAAAAATTGCTTTGAGATTTTAGTAAAACAAAAAAGTGAAATCTCATGAGGAGTTTTAAAACAGGCCTTCCAACCTTTTAGGATGTGCTCAGGCTGTTTGAAACCTTTTGAGTGCTACTAAAATGTAAATATCTACAACTACTGCTGTTAATTTTACTCCCC